GACCTGCCCTTTCCCCATGACATCCAGCAGGAGCCTGGTCTCACTGACAGCTGTCCTGTCCCTCCCGCTTCCTGGCTCCAGGATGAGAGGCTTCAGCTCTCTAAGGCTCCCTGGGCAGCTGCCCTCCAGGCCACCACGTGCTTCTGGCTCCTGCAGCCCTGACAGAGCCCCAGCTTGCCTGACAGTTGCAACGTCCCTCCCCTGCTCCAGGCCACTGCTGCCACTTCTCTGAAGAGCAGGGCAGGACCACCCCTGACAAGGCAAAGACTGGCTAGGGATGGGCTGCTGCCATCTTCTCATAAATCCCCGAATCCCAGTGGTCAATGATCAATGCCACTACCCCTCCTGGAGGATCCCTGAAAGCCTCCGCAAGCTGGACTTGAGCCCCACCACGTCCTGGAAATGCAGGAGCTGCCACGATGACAGTGGAGGCTGTCCTTGACACCCCACCGCTGCTGCAGGACATACCCGCCTTGGCTGCAGAAGACTTGAAGCACAGACATAACTCAGATGACTCATGAGTGGCCCCTCTGCCACTGCTCGGAAAGCCCCAAAATAGGTCCAGAGACACAGGAGATTAAGTGTTTGAGGCCCGTCCCTTCTCTGTATAAGAGGTGCTCCTCATACTACTTGGATCAGGAAGAGAGGGCTCCTTTGGTGCACTTGTCTGTGCCGCAGCACAGATTCCAGGAAAAGCCTCACTTGGGAAGTCCTACTGCCTACTCAGGTGGCAGCAGCAGAGCTGATAAGTGGTCATAGTTTCTAAACAAATTTAAAGGCAGGTCAATCATGGGAGAAATACAAAAGAAAAAAATTGAGAATTGCTGTAAGATGTTTGGGCCTGAGAAAATTGGGTAAACAGGGGTGCCAAGTGCAGTACTCATAGAAGAGTCTCACAGAAGAGTAGATGTGAGGTCGTGTCAAAAGATCAGGTTTGATACGCTAACATTTCAGGTGCTGGTCCTGCAAATGAAGGTATATAGAAAGTAGCTGGATATTACACATCTGCAGTGAAGGGAAAGGTAATATTATTTGGATCCAGACTGTCCCCCAAAAGTCTCACGTGTTCAGAGGTGGGTTTTGGGAAGGTGATCGGATAATGGGGGTGTTATGCTCATCAGTGGGTTGATCCACTGAAAAGATCATAGCTGAGTATGTTAGGAAGTGGGGCCTAGCCAAAGAGGTGGGTCACTGGGATGTGGCCTGGAAGCTTGTATTTTTGTCCTTCGCTCCTTTTCAGTCTCTTCCTGGATGCCATGATGTGAGCAGTTCTCTTCCACCAGGCCCTTTCACCATGATGACTGTGCCTTGCAGCCAGCTGACCACGAACTGAACCTCTAAACTGTAAGCCAAATTAAACCTCTCCTTCTTTAAATTGTGGGTGTTGAGTATTGTGTCCAGCAACAAGAAAGTTGACTGACACAGGAAGGATTTTTAAAATCCTTTACAAACACTGTTCGGTAGATACAATTTTCTATATTTTACAGAGAAGGAAACTAGAGCAAGTTAAATTATCCTACTTGCTAATAGCACCAACTATAGAAGCAAAGCCTGGGGTCAGGGTTTAAATACATGGAGGTTTGAATAAACACTTTTAACCCCACAACAGATGCTTTCCAAGGCATTGCCTCCTCAGCATACACTTACACTTTATATCTCAACTCAAAGTTGAAAGAAATTTGGCCCCCTATTGATTTGTGACCAGTTGTGAACTTACAAAGATGGCAACATGGAGGTGAATGACATCAAAAGAGCTGAGAGTGGTGGCTGAGAGTGAATCCCAGCACTTGGGAGGTTGAGGCAAGAGGATCCCATAACTTCAAGGTCAGCCTATAGTACATGGTGAGTTCAAGGCCAGCCTGGACTACACAGCAAAACCCCTAGAAATGAGAGACACACGGAACCATGCCAGACCACAGGGAGAAGCAACAAGTTAGTCAGGTGGCAGAAAGGAGGGTTAGGCATAGGCACAATGAAACCAAGACTCTTGAGATCGAGGGATCTCTGAGGTAAATGGGTTTAATGAGTCCTTACAGATGCTAGCCAGAAAAAGGACCACGTCCTGGGATAAATTTTTGCAAATTATCAGCAGCAAGACCATGTGGAGGTTGGAAAAATGTCTGTCACATGACCAGAGCTAAGAGGTTTTTTTTTTCTGAGACAGGGTCTCCCGATGCAATCCAGGCTGGCCTTGAGCTCACTATGCAGCCCAGTCTGCCCCCAAATTCACAGCAATTCTCTTGCCTCAAACTCCTAGTGCTGGGATTACACACCAAGAACAGTTTTTTTTGTTTTGTTTTGTTTTTTGGTACCGGGGACTGAACTCGGGTCCTTGCACTTGCAAGGCAGGTCACCGAACCGCTGAGGCTAAATCCCCAGCAAGAACAGTTTTTAATAACCAGAATTTGGGAAAGGGTGGCATAAATTGTTTACATTGACCCTAAATTGGCTACAGATAACAGAAATGGGTTTGGGGGCAGGAGAGAGAGGGGATATTTAGGATATAAGGGAAGTTCATACAAAGGGTTTATTCTGGGGTGGGTGAGGTTAACAGTCCAGAAAGCTTATACATGAACAGAGTACACTGGCCTTGGAAGTATGTCATTTGGGATTTAAATCAAGGTTTCAGCACAGTCTTTTTGGTAATTGACTAACTTTCCTTATCTCCCAGAATTTTCTTTTACCAGGCCTCAGCTTTCCTTTGGGTTTTAGCAGGAAGGGTAAGGCAGGGCAGGGCAAACAGCTTAGAGCCAGCTAGTCTGGATAAAGTTTCTGTGGGACTGGCCCCCAGGTGATTTAGGACAGGGCAATATTGGTTTGGTGTAGGAGGGTTAGACAAAGGAAGTGGCTAGTCAGGTTGGTTGGCATACAGGTGTAATGCCAGCGCTCTAAGAGGGAGGCTGACGCAGGAGAGAGGGTGGCAAGATGAAGTCAGCCTGAGCAACTTAGTGATTTATAGCAAGATCCTGTCTCAAAATAAAAAAATTTAAAAAGGCCTGGTGATATAGTCCAGTGTAAAGGCCCTGGGTTCAACCCTCAGAAATGAAGAAAGAAAACAAGGGAGAGGGGTGGGCTTGTGGACAGGGACTCTGGATTAGTTGGTTTGCATATGAAAGGCAACTCACAAGTGAGCTGTTTATTAGCCAGTCCTATGAGGGGCAGTTTTTCCTGGCCTGGTGGGACCCAAAATGTCAAAAGATAAATACTATAGAAAATTTAGAAATGACTAATACACCTTTCCGATCTAAATTTTTAAATCCTGCAATTACATTTTTCTGATTCCAAATAAGAATACCATAGGAGAGAAGTCAGCCTACAAGTTCTTTCTGCAAAGACACCCATTTTTTTTTTCCACAAAAAAAGTAGGCTTATTAAAAGCTTAACAGGTGACCAAAGACAATGGGACAAAGTGAATTCTGTAATAACTGCAGATTCTTCCTAAAATTAGAAAGAAGGGCAGGGGATTTAGCTGCCACCTACTTCGCAAGCTCAAGGTCCCGAGTTTGATCCCCTGTACCAATAAAAAAACCCCAAAAGATGTATAAAATTAGAAAAAAAGGAAAGGAAAGGACAAACAGATTAGAACTTCATCTCAAAATCCACTCAGCTCAGGTAAACTTGTGTACATATAAATATTAGAAAAAAACAAGATTCTGTACTGATTCAAATAACTTGTTTCACATCAACCAAGAAAATGTTAAAAGTCTGTCTGAGAGGTGCCCAGGCACATGAAGGATTGTGCTAGATGGAAAAACAGCTCCCTAAGGGAAACATGCTCTAGCCCCTGGAACTTGAGAACAAAGCAGGGAGCAGATGAAGCTCATGAAACTCACATTCCATTGGGAGGAAACCAGATATAAGCAACAGTAACACATAAATTGTTAGTGATATTAAAGGCACTGAATAAAATAAAGCAGTGTAAAGAGACAGTGCATACGTGTACGAAGGAGGGAGATAAGGCAAAATTAGACAAAAGAACCAGAACTTGGAAAATGTCTTCTTTAACAGTATGTTTAACGTTTCCCCAAATCAGGAAGAATGGCCTTTAGTGTACAGTGGAAGATTTCTTTTCAATATATTAGTAAATTTATTCAAACTTGTTTATATTTTAAAAAAAGAAAATGATACTTTTACAACTTGAGATTTGCACACAAAATTGTTAATGAAGACTGGCAAGTTGCAACGGTATCCACCCAATATCACTGTCTCCATTTTCTAGGGGACTAGAACTTCGGTTGTACAATCCACGGAACCAGAAGTCACTATTCTATCCCACGGAGCCTGGGAAGGTTCCATCTTGCTATGGACGCAGAGACTTAAATTTGACTCTCAGAGCATCCTTTGTTTCACACCCGTTTGCCTTCCGGTACAGCATAGCCAACTGAGCACTGAAAATCGAACACAGTCCGTTCTCCTCCAGGACAGTTCTCTGACTGAGCACAATACATCACCCTGCTCCATTTCGACAAACGGACACAGAACCTTTCTTCCAACACGCCTCGCTTCCAACCCTCTCCCCACTCAGACACTAGGTTCGACCTGGAGACAGAAAACGGAGCCAGAGCCCCTCCAACTCAACCCCGTTCGGAGCCCGAATACCGTCCCATCGCCTCCAGCCCGAGTGAGGACAACCTCAGCTGCAGATCGCCAGGCCCGGTCCCAGGCCCTGAGGTCCTGCCGGTGCAGATTCGCTGGTTCCAGGCAGACAGGCGGGGACCCAAGGTGGCGAGCTGCCCGGCTGATACCACTCCCGGAGCAGGGAGGCGGCAGATGGGCCACACAGTGACAATCAGAGCGACGCGCAGAACAGGGACACTCACCACTTGTCCGAGGAAGGGGAGGCCGTACCTGGCTCGTAAAGTTGCTTCTAGGGGCGGCTGTCCGAGGAGTCCCCCCGGGATCTGGATTCCAGCGCTCCGAGACCTGCTCACCTTCTGCGGCTGCACAGCGGCCCCGCTGCAGCCGCACGGCGCCAACGCCTTCTGATTGGCCCCTCGCGTATTCGCTTCCGGGTGAGAGGTTGCCTGTCTCCAGAGCAACCGGATCGCCCGAGGAGCCGGCCTAGCGCCTTCCTCCCGGAGGCAGAGCTGGCGGGCCAGGGGGAGTCGCACAGTCGTGAAAGTGTCCACTACCCCTCTTTATCACGTGAGTGCCCTTCCTTCTAAGACCTGGCAAGGAGAGGTGTCTTTAAATAGAAGTCGCGTGGCGCCGAAGACCGGCCCTTTGATGTCTTTCCTGGTGTCACTTATTTCTCTAGCGTCTGTCCTGCGGTGGCAAAGCGGTAGGGGTAGGGACGCCGAACACCCCTGGTCTGGGGATCAAATGTGGATTCTGACTTTGATTCGGCTATAGTTCGCTGCTGTTACACGTTAGGCAGGTGCCAACCTCTCTGGGCTTCCGTTTCCTTTATTTTTTAAAAAATTATTTATTTTGGGGGGTACCGGGGATCGAACTCGGAACCTTGCACTTGTGAGGCAGGCGGTGGCACCACTGAGCTAAATCCCAACCCTCCTTTCCTTTATTGAGCGAGATGGTATCGATCTCTGGTTCCTCTAACTCCAGTATTCCAAAGTGTCCAATGTAGAACCTTCTATAGGCGATTGAAAACAGTTCCTTTTTTGGTATGGTTATATTTCGTGTTCTGCATAATAGGTACTTAATTGCTTCCCGAGGCCATACTTGAGCTGCAGCTATAAGAAATCTGTAGCCGCAGAGTTAGACACTAGTCTAAGTGTTTTGTGGATTAGCTCACTTAATCTAAGGGTGAGAGAATTGAGGCATAAATAACTTGGCCGAGGCCAAAGAAAATGATGGAATCCTGATTCAAACCTAGGTAGCTTAATGCCAGAGCCCTGCTGCATCCTGTTTTTGCAACTCATTTGGGATGAGTGGTAGTTCCCTAGCCAAAGAGATGTGCGTTCGGAGAGAGTACAGCATGGCCCGGTAGGGCAGTGCAAGCAGATTTGGTAACCCGGGTAGTCTCAATAAACACTAAGAAACAGTTCTGTGTCCCTGTCTCTTCAGAGCTTCAAAATTTGAAAACATGTTTCTGTATACCACCACACTGTTCTTTATCCACAACCAAACCTTAGAAATTAGAGGAAAAATTGAACAAACACTCCTAAATTTAATCCCAGCTGCGCTGAAGGATGAGGCAGGAGGATTATAAATTCAAAGCCAGCCTGGCAATTTATCTAGACGCTGTCTCAGAAAATAAGGGCTGGGGCGGTATGTAGCTCAGCAATAAGAGGACTCCTTCGTTCAGTCCCTAGTATCAGTTCCCTTGCTCTACTCATGCAGTTTTGTTTTGTTTTTTGAGACAGGGTCTCACTAAATAGTTGAGACTGTCCTGGAACTCACTATGTTGCCCAGGCTGGTCTCGAACTTGCAGTGATCCTCCTGCCTCAGCCTCCCAAATGCTGGGACTTGTTTTGTTTTTTGAGACAGGGTCTCACTATGTAGCCCAGGCTGGTCTCAAAGTGGCAGTGATCCTCTTGCCTCAGCCTCCTAAGTTCCAGGATCATAGGTGTGCACCACAGGCCTGGCTTGCCCGTGCAGATTCTGTGAGGTATGGCCTAGGAAACTCAAAATATCCCAAGTGCTTCTGATGTAAAGGCCACACTTTGACACTCTAGTATATTCTGCCTCCTACAACTTAGAGTCTACTTATCCTCCATTTTCTTCAGTGTTGGGGGAAAAATAACTTTCTAGTATTTTAGTCTCCTAAGTGTGCAAGACTGTGAGACACAGATTCCCCCCAGTTGTATGGTCTTTCTTCCTTTTCACCTGGTCTCCATTCCAAGCTCATTCTGCTTGGGGTTCCTTTCCTTCCCCTCATATAGAGTTCTCTGTTTCCTTTCACTGCTGAGTCAAATTCCTCAGCCCACCTTTACCTCCATGGGACACTCAATAGGTCATGTCAGCTACCCAAGAGAAAAATGTGTCCTGCAGAAAAATGTGCACAGCAGTGTCAATAGCAGCATCATTTCTAACCATCCCAAACTGGAAATAACCTAATGTCTATCAACTAATGAGTGGATAAACAAAATGTGCTATTCTGTACAATATATACGGTAATAAAAAGGAGTGAAGTACTGACACGTGATACAACACTGATGAACCTCAAAAACACGTTAAGTGATCCGGGTGTGATGGCGCACACCTGTAATCCCAGCACTCGGGAGGCTGAGGCAGGAGGATCGCTGTGAGTTCCAGACCAGCTGGGGCTACATAATGAATTCTAGGTCAGTCTCAACTACATAGTGAGACCCTGTCTCAAAACAAACAAACAAACAAACGAACAAACAACATGTTAAGTGAAAGGATTGTTGCGATTCTATCTACAAGAAACATCCAGCCTAGGAAAATCTATCGACAGACAATAGATACTGGTTCCCAGTGGGGACTGGGGAGGTGGTGAATAATTCTGATGGGTGTCAGGGCTCCTTTCAGGGGTGCTAAAAACATTCCAAAGCCAGATTATGGTGATGGTCTCACTGCTCTGTGTATGCTAAGAACATTGAATTGTCACACCCTTTAAAAGTAGCTTTTGTGGTATATGAAATATATATTCACAAAGTTGTTATAATAAACAAAAACATTACCTAGAGGAAATTGTTTATTTCACAGGACTCTACACTAGACAATGGAATTGCCAAGTGGCCATGACAGGCTTGTGATTGTATGAAGTGAGATCTTTTTGGCTAGTGTTTAAAACACATTTATGACAGCCTAATGACATGAAAATATTTAACTCATGTGGTTTTTCTTGAATTTTTTAAAGCAGCTTCAGAGGTGTATAAGATAAGCTTCATATTTCCAAATGGAGACACCTATGGTAAGCATATATTTCTATTATTTTTCCTATATAGAAAATTAAATAGCTTAACATTGGAAAAAAGACTGTCACATTTTGTCAAACTACTATTCGGATATAAATTCACTTGGATGCAATAGCTCAGAAACCCTAATTGATGAATGCAGTTTATTTTTATTTTATTTTATTTTATTTTTTTGGTACCAGGGATTGAACTTGGGTTCTTGCGCTTGTGGGGCAGGCGGCGGAACCACTGAGCTAAATCCCCAGCCCTTACTTCTTTTTTTTTGTTTGTTTTTTTTTTTTGGATGAACGCAGTTTAAATCTAAACTCCAATGTCAAGTCTAGGCAGTTTGCCATGATAGCCTGCGAGATCTGTCAATCTTTCTAACCCTCGGGTCTTAGTGTTCTGGGTCTATGGGTCTCTTTACCTCTGGTCTCATTGGCTTCAGTGCTAGGGAGCCCAAACAGTGCGATTATGAACAGGTCCTGACATAAATATTATACTATTTGGTCAAACATGGTTCTCACTTAAAATATTTAGCGTTTCCTCCTTGTTTAGATGGTGACTGTACAAGAACGTCTTCCGGCAGCTATGAGAGAAATGGAGTAGGCATTCACGCCACTCCTAATGGGATTGTCTACACAGGAAACTGGAAAGATGACAAGGTATCCTAGTTTTTGTTTCTTTTTGCTGTCATGCTGGGGATGGGCACCAGAGCCTGGTGCTCTACTACTGAGCCACTCCTCCAGCCCTTATTGTTGTTTTTACTACTGACAGCAGATTAAATAATCCTATGGGCTAAATGAATTAAGCATTTCAACAGGAACAAGAAACACATGTAGTAAGTAGACTAACAAATAATCATATATAACATATGTTAACCTATGCATAATATTAAACTCATGAAGAGAGCTAATGATCGTCGTTATTGTGTCTCGTCTCCCATTCATTAAGCAGAGCTAACCTCCTTCATTATTTTCCCATTTAATCTTCATAATCATCTTATGAGGTAGGAGCTACTAAGATTCCTGTTTTATAAATGAGAGAAATCAGGCTCAAGTTTCTTGCCTGTCTAATAAGTGATAAAACAAAAAAGTACAACCAAGCTTATTTGAATCCACGTCGTTATTGTGTCTCGTCTCCCATTCATTAAGCAGAGCTAACCTCCTTCATTATTTTCCCATTTAATCTTCATAATCATCTTATGAGGTAGGAGCTACTAAGATTCCTGTTTTATAAATGAGAGAAATCAGGCTCAAGTTTCTTGCCTGTCTAATAAGTGATAAAACAAAAAAGTACAACCAAGCTTATTTGAATCCAGATTTACATTCTATGTTTTGTTTGTTTGGGGTTAGTTTGTGTGTGTGTGTGTGTGTGTGTGTGTGTGGGTGGGTGGAGGTTTTCTGTTTCTGCAGTATTGGGGACTGAATCTAGGTCCTTTGCACTGAACTATATCCCACCCCTTTTTAATTTTAATTTTTGAGACACGGTCATTCAGAGTCACTAATTGCCCAGGATAGGCTCAAACTTGTGATCCTCCTGCCTCAGCCTCCCTTTGTGCTGGGATTACAGGTATGTGCATCCATGCGTGGTTTAAATTTATACTCTTAATTAACATTCTGTACGGTTTTCTGAGCTAACTAAGCTCGTTGCCCTTTTAAGATTGCTGGTCTAGTGAAGGTGACGTGAAGATTCCTGTTGTGATTGTCATGGAGCCCCATCATTCAAATGCCCAGATTTTTAATTTAATGGGCTTCACAGATAGATACACAGGAAGGACAACCATAAAACATTGTCTGTTTTTGTCAAAATACTGATACAAAGTTGACTAAATAAGATGAGCATGGTGGCCACTCCTGTAATCGTAGCACTAGGGAGGCTGAGGCAAGAGGATTGACCGGAGTTGGAGGCCACCCTGGGTTACATAGTTTAAAGCCAGCATGGGCTATGGCGCAAGACTCTTAAAAAACTAAAACCAAAACAAAACAAAAAACAAAGTTAACTAAATAATAACTAAATCAACAGTGGATTTTTTGTGTGTGCAATACTGGGGATCAAACTTAGGACCTTGCGCTTGACAGTCAGGCACAGTGCCACTGAGCTACATCCCTGGCCCCTATGATTTTTTTTTTTTTTTTTTTTTT